CCCCCCCCCCCCCCCCCCCCAATCAAGAAATGGAAATAGAAATTTGCATGATGCTTTGTGGCTACTACAAAATATATAGGGACAGACTGATCCCTGGCTTCTGGAATAAAATAAAGAAGGCAGATTATGCATTATTTGGAGATTTCTCCTAATCCCAGTGCAGTTCAGACTTAGATTTGTTAAAAAAAACCAACAAACTCCAAACTCACTTTACTGCTATGTCTGACAGACTTTTCCAGAACAAGTTTTTCCTCTTCAGTCGATACCAATACGAGCCAAAAGACCTAATTTGCATTGGCACTGCTGGAACAGAACGAGGCCCCCCGTTCCAGGGGCCAGAACCCGACAGGCTGAGCACCTGGGCTCAGCTCTGTGCCCCCGACACCTCAGCTCAGCCGGTGCCAGCTGTTCTGCAGAGGTGCTGGCAGCAGCAAAGCAAGTTTTACATCAGCCTGAACTCCAAGGCCAGCCTCCAGCAGCAGCAGCTCACCCCTGGCAGCCCCAGCGCCCGCTGGCAGCCCCAAGGCCGGAGCGTGGCGCGGGGGCCCGAGCTCTCCCTGTGCCACCCCCGGGCTCCCCAGCCTGGAGCTGCGGGCAGTTTAATCAGCCAAGCTTCCCCAAACTCTCACAGCCTGCGCGGGCCATTGTTATGGCAGGAAAAAACAGGCAGCTCCTTTCAGGCGCTGCTTTATGGGGAGCTCCTATTCACTTGTTCAAGCAAATTTCAAAGCGGGCTGCTGCCCTCTCATCCCCGCTAAGCTCCCCTGGACTAACAATGGGCTGAAAGCGATTCAGTTAAGCCTTTCATCCACCATGCACTTTATTTCTCACTCAGTGCTCTCATCTGTATAAGGCCTACAATTGGCATTGCTGTGAAGAGAGGGTATAATCCTAGCCCTGTGAATCCCAAGTGACCCTACACTGGTCCAGAAATGACTAACCCAATGAATGCTCTGTTGACACATGATCACATACAACCAGAGCCAGTAAGAAGAAATAAAGAAGTCACCCTATGATTCAGCTCTTTTATTTAATGCCAATATTGTTCAATAAGGGAATCTGCTGGGACAACAAACTATTTTTTTTCCGTAATATCGGTTCAAAACACACATGTGTTTAAAAAAAAAATAAAAAATAAAAAAGGGGTTTTTGTTTATGCATCGAGGATTTTTGGTAAATCCTGTTTTCCGTTGTGCATCTTCATGCATGTTGATTTCAAAAACCAGGCATTAAAATCTCTCTGAGGAGCACACAGGGACCACTGGACATGTCTGACACAGACACTGGAGAAGTTTCAAGATGGAAAACCAGCAAGGCAGCACTCTGCTTGCAGGTGGGCCCTTCTAGAGCACTTAAGTGAAAATCACAAAACACAAACAGCAACATCTGCCTTTTGCTCAGCTGAAGAAAATGGTCCTCAGGAGCACCAAGTGAGCCTGACTGTCCCCTCTACGGAAGGGAGGGGACATTCCGAATTTCTGTCCTGCTGGGGAAAGCAAACTGACAGTCCATCTGAGGAGCCCACACTCCTCAGCAGCCAGGAGAACACAGATCCTGCAATTCCTGGGCTCAGCCACAGCATCTTCTCATGCCTGTATGCTGCTGAAACACCCACACCTGATCCATGCAGCTCCATCCAAATGGCCCTTTGAAGACTGCCCCAGCCACACTAGATGAGCAGCTATTTGCCCCTTCAGGTCACTGGCCCTATTACTGTACATTCTGGCATTAACGACAAACGTTAATTACAGAAAGTACTTCCTACAGGAAGTAATCTCCTCTTTGATGACTGATAACTACTTAAGGAAGCCTGGCCTTAAGACAAAGGCTCAGGGAGATTCATTCGCTCCTTGGGTTAGTCAGGCAGCACCATGGGCCAGGGCAGAACATGTTTGCTCAGCTGCAGTTGCAGAATGGCAAGAGAGGGATTCATTATTTCCCTGCATCCGATACCTGCGGCGATGGCGCGAGAGAGGGAGAGAGAGGCTGCCGTGCCCTGGCTGGGGCACACACCCCCTTTGGGTCAAGCAGGGTGATGCCCATCCCTCCCCTATGCCCCATGGGGCTGATTTAGAGGTGTCCCACCCCAAACTGTGGCCAGCACCAGGTACTCACACGCTGCTGTCGGTCATGGACATGGAGTCGTCCGTCAGGGCATCGCTGGAGATTTCGCTGTCGTTGGCGCTGGTGGCCGGCGCGAAGACATAGCCCGAGTTCACGTGGTAGGGGTTAACAGGGTCGTTCCTCTTGAAGGACCTGGCACAGAACAGCAATCCAGTTACCACACAGTCCTGGCCTTCGTGGCAGCACCATCCTCGTGGGAACCACGTTCATCATGGCCCAACCTCTTCAGAACCAACCAACCACCCGCTGCTCAGACCTCAGCCAGCACACTGCCCAAACCAGGACACTCGGACTAAACACACCCAGAGCACAACTTGAAAGACTTTGAGCATCTTCTAAAGTGCTCTAGAAAGTCCCAGGAAGTGCCTCTGCATCCTTGGATACCCCGAAAAGCTCAAGTCCTTAAGGCTTGATGCTGCACTGCTGAGGTCAGCAGGAGTTTTGCTGTTGGCACCAGCAGGTAAAAGTCCAAGAAGTTCACATCTGAAAGTCACGAGGAACCAGCCAACAATGTTTAGTCCTACTGTGAAGACAAGGGTTGTGATCCCCTTGGAAACACGAGTTATTGGTATCTCTGTTGCCTGAACCAGGAGAACTTCCTGGAACTACACAAGGCAGGGCTGAGATCTGCTGCCCCAGGCTTGGCCTCCCAAAGACGGATGCCACCTTCCTGGCACTATAAAAACACACAACAAGAAGGCCCAGCTCTCAGTATAACCTCCTGATGGGTTTTTTTTGCGTAGAGTTGGGCAGGGAAGAGAAGGATGGATGGGGGACGTGAGGAGAGGCCAGCACAGCACGTTGTATTAATGGGCACGTGAACTACTGACCCCAACAGCTCTGGGTTACCCAGAAAAGCCAACCCAAAGCCCAGCCTGGATGTTTGAGCTGAGCAGCCAGGAGCAGTTCAGTGAAGAATTCATGGGCAGTGACATGGGCTGTGATGGAGCAGGGCCAGGTCACCATGGCAGGGTCACTGCACGGGGGGCCTGAGGGCATCCCCCTGCCCGCTGCCTCCAGCACTCCAACTTCCCAGCCAGGACCAATATACAGATCCTGGCAGGTGATAAGGGGATTATACAGGGAGGTTTGGAAGCCGCATGTTAAGGTGCACATTTTGTTCCTCTTCCAGGGCAAGATGGGGTTGTTAAGCTTCTGCCTTTGTATATCAAAGCAAAAGGCCTTGTCATCTGATAAGGACTGCTGATTTTAATAATTAGGGCCACTTACCCAGGACTTGGGGGCCTAAGGAATGTGCCAGCAGGCTCGGCAGGTTTTTTTTAATGGGCTTTCCATCTCCCGCCCCCCTGGGGCTGGAGGGACCAGCTGGGCTCAAGTGACAGCAACATCCGCCCACCGCCCCTCTCTCAATCTCCATCCTCATCCCTGTGCCCCCATCACCCCATCCCTCCTCCCCCAGCACCAAAAGCAGGAGCCTCAGCGAGGCTAAAGTTTGTAAAAAATAAGGGGAAGGAGAAAAGAAAAATTGAAAAAAGGAGGGGGAAGGCTGGTGGGGAAGATGGGCCTCTCTGGTATGAGCAGCGTGGGGCTGGCTGCAGGCAGGTATTCAGCCCAGCCAGAGCTGCATTCCTTTCCAAGGAGGCCAAGGCATTTCTGATGGGGAGATCAAGATGTTAAAAAATATATATATATCTGGGAAGAAGAAGGAGGGAAAAAAAATCAGATAGTAAGGAATGCCACAGGAAAGAAGTTAAATCTTCAAAGATAAATTAATTCCACATGTGGGTGAAAGCAAAGTTATCCTGCTGCTACTACAAGAAAGTCCCACTAAAAAACATGGAGTCTTCTGCTCCAGGTCACAGGGATGTGCAGTCCCAGAGACCCTTCCTAGAGCCCTGGTGGGATTTTGGATCAAGGTGTAAGGGATGCAGCTCTTCCCACAACTTGATTTGAAACCATCTCAGCTCCTGAGAGTGCATCTGAGGACCACAAGGCTCAGGATGCTCTGAGAGGCTCGGGGGTGTGGGTGCTCCCCAGACAGGAGCAGCACCTTGCTGGGAGTGTCTGTCACCCCTGTCACAGCCAGGGGCTGGATCTGGCTCCTCTGGCAGGAGGATTCCTGCAGAGGCTGAGCTGGGGGCGGAGGCAGCAGGTCCGTGTGGGTATGGCACAGGGAGAGGGAGGTGTGTCCAAACATATAATTAGAGAAAGTGGCCGGAACTAACTCATCTTCCCAGCAGCGCTGCAGCATCATTCACCTACCAACACCTCGTGGACAAAAAAAATAATAACCCCTAAAGCTGACATATATTTCAAGTCCTCATCCCACATCCAACAGTGCCCCACAGAAATCTCCCCATCCTTTCCAAAAACCAGTGGGGGCTGTTTTGCTACATTTAACATTTTTTAAAATTTTTTTGCCTTTTCCCCCCTTTTTAATTTGACCACCTTACTCCAGTAATTGCAGCCAGATGCATCAAGTTGCCTGCGAGGGTTTTAAATTCCAGGGAAAGCGGTGGTCTCCTGCCACAGATGCTGCACACACAAACACAGCCCAGCTCCAAACTCAACATGCAAAGTGTTTTCAGCTGTCAGGTAGCAGTTGCTCTGGAGCTTCAAGGAGAATGTCTGATGTTTCTCGGCCTATTCTTATCTTGATGCGATGACACACAGCATGTAACGCTCCCCCTCTCTCTGCTATGTTAGGCAATGGCCATATCAGAGGTTTTATAATGCCCTGAAAATTTCAGGGGGGCTCCAGGTCATATCCCCTGTTATGAGAGTGAAGTTTGGGTGTGTGGGGGGTGTTTTTTTATTGTCAGATTGCTTTTAGAAATAAAAGCACTCGGGCAAGTCAAACCACAGGCTTATACGGAGAGAGAAAAACTGTACAAGGAGCAGTTGGAGGCAGCACTGAATCTCATTAAGTATTTTCCTGGGACAAACATCACTGGGCAACCATGGGTTTGAAAACATAAAAAAAAAAAAAAAAGACAAAAAAAGCCACACATGCACAAACCTGAAAAAAAGTATATTTTAACACAACTATGTTAATCACAGCTTCCATGCTCTAATTGTAGAACAGTGCTTGCAGCATAGCTTTACAATGGCATCATTTACTTCAATAATTGAAGCCAAACTTGGTTCCAATAACTTCACACACAAGGAGCTGCACCAGCGGGTCCTTTCAAAGGCCAGGAAGCACGGGGAGCCGGCAGAAGGCCATCTGCAAGCCCCAGCCTTCCCCCAGCAAGGCCAGTCCCACTGATGTTGGAGCCTAATGGGAGGCAGATGAGTCCACCTTGGGCTGAACAAGCCCACGTTGCCCCGGCGGCACAGCAAAGGAAGAGGCGCTCGCTGTGTACACAAAGTCGTGCGTGATAAATTTAGAAGCGCGTATAAATAATAGCTGGAATTCCTGGAGCATGGGGCCAGGTCCAACACAGCAGCGTGGGGAGGCCAGTTTTAACCACACCACAGCCCAGAGGGGAGGGGAGTCGCCTGGGAGGACAAAAGGGAGGTCCTGATTTTAAAATATTCCCTGTATTAGGGCTCCAAATACACAGCCAGCAGTTTGCTCCCCAGCCAGGTGCAAACTCTGTGTTTTCACTTGACTTCTCCTGTTCCTGTCCATCACCGGCGCTGGGGCCAAGCAAAGTCTTTCAGCTTGTCCGGTTGCTGCGGTCTCCCGTGGGTCTCCCGTGGGTCTCCCGTGGGTCTCCCGTGGGTCTCCCGTGGGTTTGGGTTCCCAGGTGCTCTCCCCTGCACACACCAGGCTGGCCCCACATCGCTGCGCTCCCACCGTGGTCTCAGCCCGGGGCTCGCGCCTTTCGCTGGGATAATCACATTGAAACCCACGGGAGCCTGCACGGCCCTCCAAAACCAGAGCACACTGAGCAGGAATTCCTTAATTCCAACACACACATGAGGGAGGTGTGGTTTGGCCACTCACCAGGAAAGAGTTTGTGCGAGCTTCAGCTCCAATCCTAGCCGCGATCCTAAACGCTGAGTGATGAGAGATAACCCATCCATATGCTCATCAGCTTCGAGCACATGCACGCACAAGTGGCTTCACAAACGGGAGGAACTGAGCAGCATCTCAGCTTGACCTCCCTTCTCTTTGCATTGAGATCTCTTGGCCCCATGGAGAGCAAAAGCTCCTGGAAATTCAACAGAAGGTGATCAAAGCAAAACGCACTACCTAATGTCCTAGGAGGGTAGATCTGACATGTGAGGAGCAAGCTGCATTAATCCCTGGACAAAAAAAGAAAAGAAAAGAAAAGAAAAGAGGGGGGGGGAAAAAAAAGAACAGGAAAAAAAAAAAGCCCAGCACTAATCAGGCAAGCAGCCACGGCGCTGCAAGAGCTCTCCTGGACAAGGCACATGTGGGTTTAGCACGGCCTGCAGCTCTGGTAGAACATACAGCCAAGCCCTTCCAGCTCTGAATCCCAACAAAGGCTCAGAGATAAAAGCATCAAACATCCCCCTCCTGGAAAGCCAGCGAAGGGCAGCAGTTCAAACCAAGTTCTGGAGAACAGCAGATGCTCAGGCAGAACCGCTCAGGCACGAGATGAGGATCCCAAAGCCCAAGCCCTCCACGGAGCAGCTGCCAGCGCTGCCCCCCCGCAGCCCCCGGCAGGAGGGGTCCGGAGCCACGCCGGGATGGAGAGCATCCCTTCTGTCCCACTCCCAGCACCTCCATCCCGCCGGGCCGGCAGCACAGCCTCCGGCACCGGGAGAGCCCCAGAGAGGCTCTGGAGCATCCTCCAGGGCACGGGGGACCCTGCCAGCATCCCCCGGCACAGCTGGAAGCTCTCCGGGGGCAGCAGAGGAGCGCTCCAGCAAAGCCTCCCCGGGAGAAGCCTGATGCCCTTTGATGTCCATGAATCACAGACACACTCTCAAAATTCCTGTAAACGACATGTCAAACACTCACCATACCAACCCCCAGGCTGCCGGGCCGGCGGAGGAGAGCGCACATCTGCAGCAGAGCCCTCTCCTCTCAGCCCTGATTCAACAATCCACATTTATGGCAAGGGTGGGGAGAGGAAAGAATACATTTTCAGAGGATTATACAACTCATCATTTGCTCATCAGAGTCTCTCTTTCCCATCCCCCGCCTGCACTTGGAGATGGGCTCTACTTTCCTCACCCTCACACCGCTGTACCACAATTTCCAACAAAAGAGAAGGGTCTGGCACTGCAGATGCACCCCGGGACCAGGGCACAGGGACACCCTGTCACTGCCCACATCCCTGTGGAGACAACCACCTCCTAACGAGGTCAGCCCTGAGCTCACGGCCAACACCAAAGCACCTTCCAAAGATCTATTATGCCACACCTGGAATGCCTCTACCACCTCAAACACTCCAATTTTAGGTGTCCTCCTGTATGCACTGGCTCAAAGCCACCCTAGATGGCTCTGACATGACACCAACACCCCGCGCCATGGGGAAGATGCACATCACACACACACACACAGAGTCAAAATAAAAGCAGATTCTGCCCAAGTTGCAGAGTTTGATGCAGTCACTGCACACATTTCCTCTCCCACGACCGCACAATTGCTTCCCACATAACCAACATGGTTAAAGACCGGTTGATGGTGGAGTTGGGGAACTGGTAGGTTTCATTATTCATGTGTCTCTATGATCCACTCCACTACTGCTCTTAATAGGTTTGAAAGTTGAACCAATAATTAACGTATGTCCGGAGGACATAGTTGCTATGAAGTTTTTGATCTATAAAAGAACTGAAAGAGCCAATGGGTCTTCAGAGCACAGGATCCTGTTTTCCTCTGTAGAGGGGAGGAAAAACCCCACACTCAGACAACACCCCACAAATTCCAGTGTCTGGAGGTGTGGGGAAGCAGCTGCGCTGCCAGCCCTTCAGGAAACCCTGCCTCCCCTCGATTCCCACCCCAACAACCTTCTGAAAAGCACTCTCAAAGTCCTTAAAGTTAAAACAAAGCACAATTTCCAGGGGTTCCCTTACCTGTATCCGTTCTCGATCGTTTCCGTGGCTCTGACATTCGCTGTAACCCTCAACGTCTTGCTGGATAGTCCAACTACTGAAGGCAAGATTTTGTTTTTAAAGTCTGCACAGCTCCATTCCTCTTCTTCATTCAAGGTCGGGAGATAGCCACAGACAACTTTTAAGCTCCCCAGTCCATTGGTGTTCATGTAAGCGGGATTCTCTCCTCCACTCCGTACATATTCGAGGTATATATCAGAAGTTAAAAACATCTGGTAAGCATTTTCCTCCATCACAGTCTGAATCTCAGTCTGTGCCTGATCAAACATGATGGAATCTATCTGCTGCTTCTTGATGCTGTCCCTTATGTAGGTCTTGGTAGCAGGTTTGAGCTGCTTGGAGACGATGCTGTTGTTCTCGATGTACCTTTTGTAAATAGCTTTGGCTACTCGTAAAGTTTTGGTATCCTTAAGGTCCATCTGCCTGAAGCCATTGCAGGCAAACCAGAAGTCTAAGGTATCCACACATTTTTCCCTTTCCAGAAAGGTCCGAAAAAGATAGGCACCATCTTGATCTCCCAGCAGGGAATGCAAGGATTTGGTCCATCTGGCCAGAGGGGAGTCTGGGGACGCGCTGCCCTCCGGCTCCCCGAGCCCGTTCTCATTCCTCCGCGGGGCAGGAGGCACCGGCATGGCCTTGAAGCTTTGGCTTTTGGGGAGAAACGAGCTGCCGAGTTGCGGGCATGGTGCTTCTCCTTCCTCCCCCGGGACAGGGGGTCGGGGGGCGTCTTCCCTGAAGCTGCTGCTGGGGTCTGGGAGGTGGGCGAGGACCACGGCGCTGCTCATGGCTCCGGAGCTCGCTGGGGAGAGGGGCTCCCAGTTGCTTCAGGAGCTGCCTTGTGCCTCTGCCTGCCTCTGCCTGGAGTCAGCAGGGGATCCTCGGAGCCTCCTCTCTGCAAAGGGGAAGGGAAAAAAA